GAGCGAGATCTACGAACATCACTGGAATATTTTTAAAGTTAAATTAAATATTAAATGTATTTAATGAATATATATTATTTCTGATAATATAGTAACAATCGATAATGAACCACCACCATGAGCTGTAGCTTCCATACAAAAACTCGTATAATATATATGAGAGGCAATTGAAGAATAGATTTGCATTAAACTTAGACCTGGACAGAGAATTGTTAGGCTTAATTTAATAAATAAGCATCATTGACTCTCATTGGAGTAGAATATTATGAAGATGCTTGATCTATAGCGCTACTAGCGAACCTCAATGAAATAGCCTATCAGTATAAGGTTATAGAATTAAGACTGGACAGCATTCCAATAAAACAATCTGTCAATGGTTTATCTGTTGTACTAGTAACCAAGCAATGTGCTGCATCATTGACTCTCATTGGAGTAGAATATTATGAAGATGCTTGATCTATAGCGCTACTAGCGAACCTCAATGAAATAGCCTATCAGTATAAGGTTATAGAATTAAGACTGGACAGCATTCCAATAAAACAATCTGTCAATGGTTTATCTGTTGTACTAGTAACCAAACCTCACCGAACATAATATTAGTGTTAAGTTCTAATAAAAAAATTGAATCACATTGTAGGGATTTATAGGGTTATAGGATCCCAATAACTGAACAGAATATCAAGGTTTATTATTTTACGAAACTTTAGCAGATATTTTGCACATTTGAAAATGGTTGTAAATGAATCTTCAAGTTTTTTTTTTCCCTTGGCAATTTATTATAAATTGAAGTGAATGATATATATTAATGATGCATATATGAATGAGATTATTATAAATCTATCTCGAACAGATTTGTGTTGACATCATATCGTATATACATTATATGAATTTTAACCAATATTTCTCTTAGTTTTGTATTCAAACAATAACTTAATACTTTCCAAATATATAATTATAATGATCCTTTTGATTATATCAGTTAAATTTCTTTATTAAATACTGAAAAGAGTCACTTACTTCTTGTCCTCCGCGCAGTGAACTCAGTGAAAATGATTTGCAATTTTTTTCAATGCAATTTAAGTATTTAAATTAAATAATAAACCAAAATTTATAATTAATTCATTAATGGAATTAATTGAAATAAATATATATATCATATTAAAGATTTAGTTTATAAAACTAATTTTAATATTTTTATGTATGTTTAGTTATGTTTTATTTGGTTTTAGAGGGGTGGGTTTGATTGTTTAAACTTTTTTTTGTGGTTTAATTTTTTTTTAAATTTTATTGTTTCTATTTAAAAACATTAACTTTTCTTATGAAATGCCTATTATATATATTCTTGTGTAATGGAAATTTTTCAATATTAAAAACCTTAAAGGTTTGAGATTGCAAATCTATGCTAAAACACTGACTTATTGATGATGCTTCTTTAATTACAAAAATACAAAGTACAAAATTTAAAATTATTTTATTTTAAAATGATTTGTTTTATTTCATTAATTTATCTTCATTTATTATTTTTTTGTTTTGTTTATACTATAAAGTTATTTTTTTTATATATTTTATATTCTGTTACACATTAACAATTTCATAATATATATTTTTTTCTTTTATTTATTTTATAAGTTGAAGTTTTTGTTAATTAAAGACATTTTTTTAAAGAAGTTGTAAAATAATGTAATTTTGTTTTAATGAGATTTTTTATTAAAAACAAATTTTCTATATTAAATTAATTAATTATTAATTTTGAGAGTCCGAAACGTAGTAATTTATTATATATAATATTTTTATATATAATATTTATACATATATTTTTTTAATTAATCAAAGAGAAATATTATATAATTTATATATATTTTTTTATTAAATTTTTAATATATTTAATTTTTTTTTTCAAAGATTTGTGTTATAACTTTTCAGAAAATACTTTTATTGCTGGAGAAAAAACCTTTAAAAATACTTTTGTGTTGAAATTGTATACACATATGTGAATTGGCAGTGATTTTGCGCAAAATTAACTAATTTAAGATATAAATAGATTAGATGTATTAAGAGAGAATTATAGATCATTATGAGAGAATATACCTAAGTAATAGCGAATTTATAGTGGAAACTCATTGACGTACAACACCGGTACCTACATTAGAATTGTTAAAATGACGTTGGATGTCAATATGTTTCTTTCTACCTTTATTATTTTATATAGAGAAGGCACAAGATGTGAGGAATATAGCTCTGATAGTTTTAACATCTTTTCAATTTCTTCATAACAATTTTCGTCCAACTGCAATTGCATTTTCTGTGATCTGATATTCTAAAGAGCAGATTTAGAACTACAATTGTAATTTTCTATTGATTCAAGTAAAAGGATACCTTACTTTCACAAGTTATATCATATTATTAAGATATTTGTGGGAATAATTTTATTTCCTGTGAAAAGGTTAATATCTCTAAAATCATGAATAGAAGTTTTCACTTTTCAATAAGTTTTAAATATGTTAGTGATACTGATTTCAACTCATTGCAAATTGCAATAATAGGTCTCAATATTGAAATTAATGTTTTTGTAATACTGTGAATGTTTTTGCAAAATTTATCTCTTTTGAAATTTTCACACGAAACGGCACTTTTATTCGTCGAAAGTTTCCTTCTGTCGTTATTTTTCATAACCGTTGTCATTAAATATCGTTCATGAAGCTGTCAGATTGTACTTTGTCATTTGTTCATATTTTTATCAGTTCTCCAAATTGAGCACTGACTGCTTGCTTCATTAAAGGAGTTTATTTATAGGAGTAATTGAACTGAATTTCCTTTCGTATTCATATGCAGTCAGATATTTTCTTAATTTTCTTTTCTATTGTAAAACGACAATATGTGCTTTATTAAAACAAAAAAGAGATTTCCCAATCCAGGATAATACTTCGTTGGAATAGTTACTCTATCATATCTTTAAAATGCTTTATCAGCCTTTGCTTTCACCTCTTCTATCTGTATAACTTGCGTAAATTTTTGAAACTAAAGCAAATTCAGTGTATTTGCTTCAATGCAGTGTTGATACCTTACTTGAAATATTAGTAAAAAAATATTTATTGAAAAATTTAAATTAAAATGACTACAAAGCAAACGGAACAAGCGATCTTAATCGGATTTATTCGCATAAGGAAGATATGCTGGGCTTCAATGTATACTTCCATAAAATCATCTGAATAGCCTATTATCAGAGATCAATGGAGCTCTTATTACAATGTATCATCCACATTGTCACAGAGTAAAAGTGAGTGCTTTAGGCACTAACATGCGTTTGATTAAGTAAAGAAGAAAGAAGAAGAAGGATATTGATACAGCTACTACAGATTCGTAATGCGCCAAAATGGATAATTACACGCACTTTTCAAAGAAGATGTATCAAAAGACCCTTGGAGAGTATCTTAAAGAAAAATGAACCAATAATATCCATACGCAAAAAATGAAAGCCAAGTGGGCTTCTCTGGAGAGATAAACCGATGGAAAGAAAAATACAGATTTATAAAGCCCAAGCGCAAAAAACGAAGCGGGCTCTTCTGGAAAGATGAACCGATGTAAAAATAATCACTGATTTACAAACCTCATGCGCAAAAGCTAAGCCGGTTTTTCGGGAAAGATGAATCTAGGCAGCATATAGAGTTACGAATATGAGGCAAACTGGTAGTGTATTAAAGAAATGTGGGATGACAGGTGTTAAAAACTTATGCTGCGCAAAATCCGAAGCTAAGCCCGCTCTTCAGGAAAAATGGACTGACACGATTTATAGATTTACATTGTGTCAATAAAAGGAAAGAAGTCTATTTTTCTTTTCTAAAGAAAAATAGACTGATACGAGTAACTGTAAAAATCGCACTGATATGCTTAAATCAGAATTAAACACTTAACTGATAGGAACTACCAGACTAATGAAAAATTATCTATAAATTTTTTTAGTTTATGTATTTCAAAGCTGGATTTGAGACTCAGACCATCTCATATTCCATCTCTATATAAAATTCGCTTATCTGTGCGGCATACTTTTGACCACTTAACTTAATATATTTTATCAGTTCAACTTAAAAACAGTTAACAACAACAGAGCATAATTAATGTATTAAAAAGTATCTATTATTTGCTTACAAAATTCATAATTCATAACATTCCTTATTTTGTTTAAATGCTTATGTATGTACAAAATACTTCGATGTCGATATTTTCTATGGTTTTTTTTGTGTTACGCTAACGAACCAAAGAGCCTTTTCAGATCGATTTATTTAAAATATTTCAAGTATGTCTAAATAAATATAGAAATTGTATGATTCTCTTAAATATTTCATTGAGTTTTTCTGCGATTAACTTAACTACATTATTAGTAAAATACAATTAGTTTAATGGACTTACACATACATTACATTGAAAACGTTTCATTATGCTATTTAAAATTACTTGTTTCATACCTTTGCTTTATGATTTTTTTATATATTTTTAATTATTATTTTTAGCAGATATAAATACAATTCTTTTTTTTCGTTTTTTCTTTTATAAATGAATATTCTAACAAAAATAAAAATTTTGTAACAGATTTCAACAAAAATACAACAAATACTATACAAACGCCACATCCGAGTCGTCAATATAACGTTCGACTGTACCGGTTGCGGCTTTGTTTCTAGACTCTTGCTACCTTCTTCTCTTCTAGACAAGTCGGTGCGTTCTAAAATTTATTTAAAAATGAAATTTAATTTCAAAAAATAATACATATATATAACATATATATAGTTATACAAATATATGTTTAACTATAATTTGTAGTTAAAATTTATTGTTGATCGTTACTTTGGTGTGAAGCCAAAGTCGAATTAGTTTCTATGACTAGAAATTCAGAAAGATTACCTCTAGTAAATTTAATTAGTTTCGTTATAAGCAATTACATAGTATATAATAATAATAATAATAATAAATAAATATTTATAAATAAAAAATTAAAATGCTTTTAAAATAGAAACTTAAATCTTTGGTATTCGTTTTGGAAAAATATAGCATATTGCTTGATTATTGGAAAAATGAAGCTTTTCACGCCCCAGCCCGAGTTTTTATCACGGAAGTTGTATTGAGCCCAAGTGGATCCAACTGCGTTTAGTTTATTGGCTTATAGACTAATAGGAAACAAAATGCATTAGAGTAGTAAGTAATTCACTTGTTTTTGTTTTCATTAACGTCGTAGATTCATAGTGTTCAGAAACTAAATAGTATTGTGTAAACATGCATTGCAGTGCGGGAGATAGGGAAAAACAAAATACCGCAGCCATTAACTACAACTGCAACTGCACCGTGATGTAGGTCTTGGATGCTGGAGAATTTTGTATGCAATTGTGTTTAAGTTGGGCTCTCCGTTGTGGAACCAGATGCTGATACACCATCCTGCAATTGTGCTAACGCCTTGAATTTTTGTGAGTTAAGAAATCTATAAGAAAAATGTATATTAGCATATCATATTAAAATATAACAATAATTTCTAAAATTAATTATTATTATGTTTAGATCTGAACTAGGGATTTTAGGGGAATATTTTTTATAAACATTTTGCACAAAAGATATCGGAATATTATTATATAATTAATAAAAGTTAAAAGTTCTTTTACAATAATAATCGTGTTAATATACAGCGTTATCTATTTCATGATCCCAAACATAAACGGCCACTTAGGGTTTTCTCCATAATAACTTTTGACGTGGTTGTAGTTCTACAGGACAGAAAGAGACTGTGTCTCAAATTGTGTTTGACAACATAATTTTTATTAATATTGTTGTAGAATAATAATCTTGTTAATGCATAGCGCTCTCTATTTAGTCTATTAAGTAAATACTATTTAGCCAAAAGTAAATGTAAATAAAATATAATACATGGAAAAGTCCCTTTGATAGTCTTTACCATAATAACGAGTGTTAAAATTCATCTTTTACCAGAAAAAATATTCTTCAGATCTCTTTCCTCCTAGATCATATTTACTTATTTCTCATTAATTTTTGGACTGCAACTACCAAGAGATAAACCTGTACCTTGCAAAATTTGCACGTAAGTCAAAATCAATCTTAAGTGGACAACTGCCCCAAAGTTCAGTTATTCTTTAAAGTTAGTGACATAGGTAAGGTTATTGACTTTACAGGTTCATTCTCAGGTTGATTGGTTACTTAAATTTATGAGTCAAGCGTGTTTATTTTTAGAACGTTGTCTATGCACATTGCGCTGTAATCTTTATACCTGTTTCAGTGATTTTCTTGATCTAGTACATAAGCAGTGTCTTTATCCATAGTATCACAACGGTGTAAAATACAATATTAATGTAATGTTTTATACAGAACATCCTACAGTACTGTTTTCAATGAAAAGGCGGCACATAGCTGACAATAGCTTAACTATAACTAGATGGAAAGAGTTAAGATTTTGAGAATTGTCCGTGTAAATACGACACATTGCGTTACTCCATTTAAAAATTTATTGTCGACACAAACAGTTAAGAAAAATACACTTATTTCTATTATAATAACTATGGTTTGTAATTCTAAGGTTTAAAAATTACTATAACAGTTTTAGTAACACCATTCCGTTAATACTCGTATTATATATATATAGTAAGTATTTCGACCATTGCTTGTGGATTTTCCACTGAAAGTTTTGATTGACATATTTACCAAGTGAAAAATTTAAAGTCCAATGTATGTATAATAATAATCTGTGCTTACTCACCTCGGATAAGAATCTCTGTGCATTAATGTATAAATTTGTATCTGAGCTTCATCGAAGGTGTGCGGTGTTGGGTCAACCATATTGCGATTTATCACATCTCTAACACGTGAGTCTAATGAAACCTCTCTTGGAGATAGTATTGAAACATAATCCTCATAAATAGTTCGTGATTTTTCTTCTATTATCGGAACGTCTACCTCCTTTTTTAGTTCTTCGCATGCTAACCAGAACAAAATATTTTCTTCACTAAATTCACTTCGGAGAAAATCACGAAACAATTTACGTCCACCTGAAATTAAAAGACGACTTTAAAATTTGCTTAAAATAATAATTAATATATATATGTTAGATTATTTGTATGTCAATCATTTATAAGCTGACCATATACCAACAGGGTGGCTCGTCTCTAACATAATAAAAATATTATGTCATTTCAATTTAGTTAAAAATTTGGAAAAGGAATTCTCTTCTAAAGAAGAAAAGCTATACTTTACGAGTTTATATATATTTTATCACAGCGATGCTTGCATACAGAGACTATTTGTATTGGAATTTAGAAAATGAATTCTTATTTTCTTGTTCTTATTTAAATTAATAAAAATTTAGAAAATGAGTGTTCGTAAAAATAAAGTTAAACCTTAGAACACTCTATTCTTACTGCATCCAAAATTAGTGGCTGATATTTGTTTTCTTCATCTCTGAAGAAATAAGAGATACAATTTTTACCATGATATTAAAGTGAACTATTTCTTTAAATTTACTTTTATACATATACCTAACTATGGTATAGTAATATATTTTTTATTGATTGGCCGATGGATTTGTCAGACTTAAGTTTGATATTAGTCACTAAGCTAGCCTCCAAACTTTGTAATAGTGATTGTTCTATTGACGATTATATATCTATTAATATATAAGCGGAAAGAATAATAATTTTGGTATATAAAATTCTATAAGTTGTTCAGTAGTAAATCTAAAGTCCACAAAATATACTGTATTCACTAAAATGATTTGCAAAAATGTCTTTAGAACTTAAATGTAACCAAAATTTGAGTTAAAAAAAATTAAATACTGCAATTTCTAAAAACACATTTTGGTCTATAGCCATTTATTTTCTAAAACTCCAAGTAAAACGTAAGTAAGAAAGAAACACTAGGAACTGAAACTATGTATCAAAATGAAATCTATATTGGAACTATATTTTATATACTTTTTTATATATGAATTCGTTTGTACTATATCAGAATTATGAATTAATGTTTTTTAATATTTTTTGGATATTCTATATACGATATTGCCATTACAAATGCAATAACTCATTCTTATAAATTCAAATACTAAGAATTTTGTCAGTAAAGTATTTACTTTACCGATGCATATAATTACATAAATTATATAAATAAAGGGAATCTTACTAAAAATTCCTACTTTTAAAATAGTAGGAAAGTAGGAAAGTTTTTTAAAATAATAAAACTTATTTTAATTCGATGTTAATTACTAGTTTACAAACATAGACTGAAGTACTAAACATATTAGTACTAAATTAGTTTAAAATTAGTTATACTTATTACTTTTATACATTTTTAAGACTTACTAGTGCTTTTCATTAGCTTATCGAAACTCTTTCCCCATCCTCGAATTTCCTCTAATGTTGGTCTAAAAATATAGAAAACTTATTAGTATACATACATTATAATTATAATATATTGTTTACGCACTGTTCTCCTTCAAAAATATAACTTGAACTTCCTCTCTTCATTGATGTATGTTGTGAAGGATTTTTGAAGGCCAAACTAATAAAAAAGAAAAGAATGTAATCTTATTGTACATATATTATAAAATAAACAATTAGAGCTACATTTTAAAATGAATGATTTTAATGCGTTTATTAGACTGTGACATTTTTTTGTTAAATCAGAGAAATTTATTAACAATAATAGCAACACAGCTAAGACTTATTATTCTACTTTTCACTAATTTATTATTTATTTAACAAAAAAAAACTGATATTAATATATATACTATATTAACATACTATATCTCTAAATATCGGATGAACAATTTTTCAGATAATTATTAGGTAATTCACTTCATTTGAACTTTATCTTATTATCTTCTTTATATTAATCATTCGAGTATTATATTGAATATATTGTTATATTAATATTATATTATTATTTAATATATTATTATATTAAATACTGAATATAAAATAAAAAAAAAGAAATTTTAATTAACACAGTTATTTTTTTTTTTTATCAATTTTAGTTTAGATAAACATTAGGTAATCGACTTGTTAACCTACTTATGTTAATTATTTAAAAGAAGTAACTAATATAAATCGTAATTAATATAGTTACTATTTAGAATTATCGTGTTATCAATATAAGTTTAAATGAAAATCCAGCTAATTATCTAATTACATGATCCAAAACTTTTAAACGTATTATCCTCATGGAAATTGAAAGAAATAACTTAAAATATTTATTTATTTATTTATTTTAAGGAATTGGACTACTATATCCTTCGCCTTAGATAACTTAAAATATATTTTTATTAACATATCCGTAAACATCCAATCGTTATATTAGTTCAGATAATCATTAGATAACTTACAACATTTAGAATTCTTGACATATCGTTAATTATTGTATTTTTTATTTGAGAAAATTAACTAATAATAAATTTTAATTAACACAGTTTCTATTCAGAAATATTCAGTCATTAATATTAGTTTAGATAACCATTATATTATAGATTCCAAACTTTTAGTCTTATTACCCTATTGCACTTGTTATGTTATTTATTTGAAAGAAAAAACTAATAATTTTTAGTATAGATAATCATTATATAATTAACAATATTAACAGTAAAAATATTTAATTTAAAGAAATGAGATGCCAAAGAAAATATATTATCTATTCCAATATGGTTGTATAACTGACGAATTTAGATAATTCTTAGATAATTCATTAGTGAAAATATTTACAGTGAAAATATTTAATTGTAGATGTAAAATGATATAGAAACTGACTCATTATCCTTTCCTTTAAAAATGTACAGATATTTGGAATATATAGAGTAGTTCAATGGTTCAGAATATAATTTGACTTTGATAAAAACAGGAAGTCATTATTAAAGTTAATAGATAACATTATTTAATAAATTATTTAAAATCAATTTTCGAATTGTGCCATAGTTACTACTTTCACTTATAATGTTCACAAAATATTTCAGTAAATTGTTAATAAAAAACACTCCAATAAAATATAATAAACTATTATCTTATTTACTTTGTTCACTTATCTCTATTTTATCTTTATTTTTTTTATTTTTTTTCTCTTTATGTGAAATCATGTGAAAAGGATTTATTTTAATTTCATTATTTTTTTTTTTTTAATTTGTTAAATAAATTCTTTTAATTAATAATTTTGTGACTCTTTTTATTTTCATATAATCAAATATTTTTTAATTGGATGAGTTTCATCACATATTTATAACACAGCCCTAATCTAAGACATGTATGAGTAATGCAAACCTATCCTTTAATCTTGATATACTTTCTTTTAATAATTTTCTAGTTTACAACACATCACTAAAATTAAACGTAACCAACATTTAGTTTCTAACCTTATAGATATTCAATTACGAAATGAAATTTTATACAATCAATAAAATCGACCACCGTCCTTCATGCAATTATGGCAGGTAATTCTCTAATTTCTCTTATTACGTCCAAATTATCTATTACATCCAAAATCTGTTATCGACTGAAATAGTGCTTATCACTTTTAAAAAAAGAATATATTTTCAAAGTGTGTTTTGCTCAAATGAGATAAAAAATAGACAAATTTTAATGGATTCATTATTGATTTAATATAATCGATTGAATCGCTTCAAATCACTATAATTCATTTATGTAATGTAAAGATATATATTTATGCTTATCGGTGATAACTACACACTCGTATATGAAAAATTGTTTATCGTATTTTGTTAAAATTATATTATTTTTATTTATTTGCATAGATAAACTTTGTATTATCGCAATGACATTTATTATAATTGTTACCAGATTTATACATATGTACTCGTTTAGATATATATATATTGTTTTTGTCAGATAGCAATAAGGACGTACTTCTAAATACTGTGTTTATATTATGTTTTGAGAAAATATTCAATAAAAATATTCACTTGACAATAAAAACATGTCTGAAAATTATATTGTTTATAAGGTCAATACTGTAAATATTTAATAAACTTTAGTTAGTCATCGCTTCTAATTTGACAAGCACAAGTTCTAAGCCCAAAACTTGCAGTTTAAAGAAATTATGTACGGACTATAAACTAATTAAAAAGAAATTAGTATATTTTCAAAGAGCACTGATGATGAGTACTTGGAAACACCTTTTCCGGGTAACACTGAGATAAAAAATGGTAGAGATTTGCGATGTTAGATACTAAAGAAAGAGAAAGGCCCTTTAAAAGTCTTTTCAACTATATAATAACTACAAAATTAGAAATCAAATAGCAGAACAAAATGGCCACATATGACAGCAACTCTGGCCAATAATACAAAATGACAGATTAAAAAGTTCAAGCAAGATATTAATCCCCTTACGTCTGTTATTATTTGATATGTCTACATGCGGCTACCTGAGTGCCAATGGAGAATTCTGTAGAAGCTAACAGGATGAGGGCTCAGAAGAAGTGATTGAACATTTATTATGCCATTTTTTGACTCTAAAATCGTCAGAACTAACCACAGTTACTTATCGAAAGTTTCAAAACAAAAGTTGCTGTTTTAAACCAACTAACCATTTTTTCTAAAGGTGATTAAGTTCTACGGATTTCAACCTTAGGTGCGCTCCATTACTGTTTGTCTTCGGTACTGTTAGTTAGTAATAATTACATATTTATACCCTCTCGGTTATACACAATTCCTTGCACCTTTTCATGAATTAAAAACTATTTTTTTGAACATAAAATGGGTTGAAAGAGTAAACGAAGAACAGTACCTAATAAGAACTAAAGCAGAAGTTCTGGATTTCAAATCAAATAGAAGTCTGAAATAATGAAATTGATTTTTCATGTAGCTCGATAAATACATTAGTTACACTGAATTATTCCTTCGAAATCCGAACGGAAAAAACGTAGGAATATCCTCGATATTGTTGTCAACCATTGAAACTATGAAGGAAGCGTAATTAATTATCCACGATATATACATATATATATTCAGAAAGCAAGATTTTTAACAATCTTTTTGGGGCCGCAAAAATAAATAAAGTACAATGCCTAATAAGAAGTAATGTTGAGGTTCTGCCTTTGTTACAATATATAAACTCGGAAATCATATATAAGTCTCAGCGAAAGATATGAGTAAGCCATGTATCACGAATTGGTGTCAAAAAAGTACACTAATTATTGTAATATGAGTTATACGTCGAAAATCGAGAAGGAAAAAAAACGGTGTCTTCGATCAGGATGAAATGATCTCAAACAATTGGCTAACAAAAAGTTACAAGAATTATAAGACTGGAAAATTATTGTAAGAGAAGTAAATTATGTACCCGGATTTGGGCACTAATAAAGAAGAGAAAAGGTTGAAATTGCATTCTTTATCAGTTTTATACAGATAGTATCTATGGAATTTAAAAAAGACAATAAAAATATGTTCCCTGTCTTAATTTCTATTTTCTATCTGTCTGTATTTTATAAAACTCTTATATAAACGATTACCATATATTTCCAATAATGGTTCATACGTAATTTATATTATCTATTTCGGATTAAATAATATAAGAATATGTATTTCTTTATTGTATAATAATTAGCCACTTACCTACTCATTTTTGATACTAAATGCTTCCATCTTTCAGCCATATTGAACATTATATTTATCACAATTTCTTAATTTCTATTGTTAACTATCGTAATTATCACGAATTTTATTATAGTTATGTATATATGAATATAATTTTCTGAATTTAACTTCGTTTAAGAATTTTAACATATGAGTTCATTCATAATCGTTAGTATTTTAAAGTCTTCAGACTCAATGTTTTTTTCTACACTACGAAAAGCGAAAACATTATTAGAGTAACCATATATATCAAAGTGAATTATCTACTAAATATTCAAAGGAACTGAGGATTTTAAATTAAAGTTTTTAGAAAAGAATAATTTATGACGAAACAATTACACATAGAGTAATAATAAATCAATTGCAGTATTGCAATATTTTGAAAATGCTCCAGTAATCCATATTCGTCCATTCCTTTCGAATTATATTTTTTATATCAATTTCATCGATTTTTTTTTCTACATTTAGGTGAACAAAAGAAAAGAAACATACATTTTTGTCGTATCTTTCTTACTCAAAATACCATCATATATACTATTACTATAAGTTACCGACTACAAACAACATCTCTAGTACTTCCAGTTTAAATTTATTAACTAGCTAAGATTCTTCACTTTTTTCTTTGCGCTTTTTTGCGATTAGGCAGGACTTCTTAAATTTCTTCTAAACCTTGTTCTTTATTGCTACCCCATTCTTATGAAATTATTTGAAATAAATGTTTCTCTCAAACTGTCTATTGTCGATTTAATCCAGATATGGAGATTATACTAGCTTTTGCTATGTGAATAAGTTTTATTCAATTCTCTCTCCTGGTGTCAATAAATTTGGCAGTCTTATTGTAAATATTAAAAATGTGTATGAATGAATTATTATATTCTCATTCCTGACCTGAGTAAATTTGGAGACTTTAATATAAATAATAAA